TTATTGGCTGCCTGGTCAATGTGTAACCACCCAGGTGATAAAAGGCTGCAGAACCAGCAGGGAAGTCCAGCCAAGTGCACAGGCTGGTGCTGTGTGCTGGAATCACCAGATAACACCCAGGTGGGTGTTCCTCTCTATCAGAGGAACAATAAAGAGCGTCCCTGGGAGGAGGCCGGGACAGCTCTGGCTAGGACTGCACCCCTGACACCTTCCCCCTGCAAGGCCCTTGTGCCCCTGCAGGAGATGTGTCACTGCACAGCACCACTCAGCCTCACACAGGCTTCTCCCAGGCAAGACTTGCTGCCTCCCCCGCAGGAAATTCGGCTCTGGGAGGCCCAGACCCCCGGGCTGTGGAACAGCTCTTGCAGTTGGCTGTTTCCAGGCTGAGAAGACTGAAGAGATGGGAGGATGATGCAGGTTCCTGCAGGACACACCCTCCAGGCTGAGCAGCACTCCCAGTGTGCCAGCCCATGGACAGGTTGGCTCTGTGAGCTCACAGGGCAGAGCAGACACTTTAAACACTGTGGGAGGGGGATTGTCACCCAAAAGGGCAACTCGATTCCTCCCTGCAGCTCAAAACTTCACCCTCAGCACGCACAAATCAACCTCGGCACGAACTAAACCAGACCCACCTGAGTCAGCTTCTTGTGAGCACAGTGCACCCCTCCAATGGGAATGATGTTGGGCATCAAAGGCCGGGGATAGTCCATCACAAACTCTACCCTGAGGAGCCAAACGGAGCCCCGGCGCAGGAGATCCAGCACTGTCACCTCCCGATGCAGGAACTCCGAGGCCAGTTTGGTAAACAGTTGAAAGGCAAAGTCACAGAGGAAAAAATTGGGGATCTCATAGAGCAGATTCCCCACCCTCTGGAGGAAGGTCATGTGGTCTGTGTGCTGGGAAAATGCCCTGGGAACGTAGGAAGGGGGATTGGGGCACTGGGTGGCTTCAAAATCCAATCCACAGGGCACTCCTCGGAGGAAATACACGGAGGGAAGGGAAAGATGCTCTGCCAGGACCAACCCATGAGGTACTACAGGGTCTGTGAGGAGGGCATCAAACTTGCTCTCCTCAAGGTACCTGATGAGCTCTTGGTTTTTCAGGAGCCACTCACAGCTGATAACGGCAAATTCACCCAGTCTTTTCATCCTTTCATACACTTTGAAAAATCTTGTCAAAAAAGATCCTTCTTCAAAAGAAATCAGCATAAATTCCTGGAATTCTTTCTCCATCTCTTCCTGTGTGAAAGGCACTGGGTACATTTTCATCACAAAATTCTTGGATGGCTTCATGTACAAACTGGCTGCGGGTGCCACGACGACTATTTCGTGTCCCTTCTGATGGAGAACGTCCAGCACCTCCCTCATGCTCAGCCAGTGGCTCCCGTCCGCCGGCACCACCAGCAGCTTCCCAGCTGCAGCCAAACCCAGCAGGGACAGCAGCACCACCAGCCTGGCTGGGACTGCTGGGGGAGCACCGAGCCCCGGGGCCATCCCTGCACACATCAGTGAGAGCCTCCAAGCAAGGCAGCCCCGGCAGCACCGGCACCCGCTCCGGCACCTGAGCAATCCGCGCCTCAGCCCCACTGCTGAGCCCGATTTTATTGGCTGCCTGGTCAATGTGTAACCACCCAGGTGATAAAAGGCTGCAGAACCAGCAGGGAAGTCCAGCCAAGTGCACAGGGCAGAGCAGACACTTTAAACACTGTGGGAGGGGGATTGTCACCCAAAAGTGCAACTCGACCCCTCCCTGCAGCACAAAACTTCACCCTCAGCACGCACAAATCAACCTCAGCACGAACTAAACCAGAACCCACCTGAGTCAGCTTCTTGTGAGCACAGTGCACCCCTCCAATGGGAATGATGTTGGGCATCAAAGGCCGGGGATAATCCATCACAAATTCTGCCCTGAGGAGCCAAACGGAGCCCCGGCGCAGGAGATCCAGCACTGTCACCTCCCGATGCAGGAACTCCGAGGCCAGTTTGGCTAACGATTGAAAGCCAAAATCACAGAAGAAATAATTTGAGATCTCGTACAGTAGATTCTCCACCCTCTGGAGGAAGGTCATGTGGTCTGTGTGCTGTGATAAGTCCCTGGGAACATATGAAAGGGGTCTGGGGCACTGGGTGGCTTCGAAATCCAATCCACAGGGCACTCCTCGGAGGAAATACACGGAGGGAAGGGAAAGATGCTCTGCCAGGATCAACCCACAGAGTGATACAGGGTCTGTGAGGAGGGCATCAAACTTGCTCTCCTCAAGATACCTGATGAGCTCTTGGTCTTTCAGGAGACACTCACAGCTGTGAACTGTCAATTCACCCAGTCTTTTCAGGCCTTCATACGCTTTGAAAAATCTCGTCAGGAAAAATCCCTCTTCGAAGGACATCTGCAGAAATGTCCCCAATTCTTTCTTCACCCCTTCCAGCGTGAGAGGCACCGCATAGGACTTCAACTCGTAACTCTTGGATGGCTTGATGTACAAAGTGGCTGCGGGTGCCACGACGACTATTTCGTGTCCCTTCTGATGGAGAACGTCCAGCACCTCCCTCATGCTGAGCCAGTGGCTCCCGTCCGCCGGCACCACCAGCAGCTTCCCAGCTGCAGCCAAACCCAGCAGGGACAGCAGCACCACCAGCCTGGCTGGGACTGCTGGGGGAGCACCGAGCCCCGGGGCCATCCCTGCACACATCAGTGAGAGCCTCTGGGGAAGAACCTCCCCAGCTCCGCGA